CACAGCGCTTGGAGCCACTGGGCTTCGGCGAGCAAGGCAAATAAACTCAAGGTCTCCGCCGCCGAGGTAGAAGACGCAACCCTTTGTTAACCGAGTGGATCTCCAGGCCAGCAGAGAGGCTCTGGCTCGACGATTCTCCCGAGTCTCAGCGTCCGCCGCGACGACGACAAAACCAGCCTGACTTCCATTCCGCCTCGAGGGCCTGGGCCCTCCGGAGTCGGAGATCGCGGCGAAAGTCAGAGAGAAGGGATCTAAAGGCCACGCCGCTATGTGTCGGGAGGCGGCCGCCTTCAAATGTCGCACTATCTCGAGGCAAGTGACCGCGTCCTCAACTGCGGAAGTAGGATGAGCGGCAGACTGCAAGGAAACTCCCCCCCGCGACATCTGGCCGGGTTCCTCGTGCGAGCCATTGAAACTGGGCCACCATCGCGCGATATCCTCCCACATCCATCGCAGTCAAAAGAGAAGCAGGGTCATCGCGCCTATTCTTCTCGAGCCTCATGGGCGTGAGTTGCTCCAGTACGTACTTTTCTTGGCCCACTAATATCTCCCCCCGGACACCTGCTCTAGATGTCGGCCAGCGAAATCGGATTCTCCAGTTTTCCATTTACCGGAATTGAAACTCCCCTGGAGACGTTTTCTCAAACCCTCTCTCTCATCCAGATGAGAGGCCCAAAGAAACTCATAAACCTCGATCAATCAAATGGCCCTGGGAACCCCTCGGGAAGACCGCTTCACCCACAGACAAGGCTCTTGCAGCGATTTCTCGATGCCATCTCCGACAAGGAAATCTGCGAGGGTATGGTGCCACAGCCGCGGTGCATCGTTCAAACCGTAGACAGGTGCCACGACCTCGATGAGCTCTCCCGGAGCCGGCTGGAGACCTTGGCAAGGCGCACAACAAATCGCGCCCTGGAGGCGTCGCAAACGATCTGATTGGCAGAACGCGTTCTTGGCGTCGGCCACCTCGAATGTCCACTCAAGAGAGGCGATGGCGTGAAGGGTAAGCATCAGACTCTCGGACTGCGGGGTCGGGGCATAGGTCCCCCCCGCCCGGACCGTGATGTCCCTGAACTTGGCTGCGTTCAAGTCCCCCCAAAAAAGTCATACTTTTTACCGTTTCTCTATGACTTTGCCCCTCGCGTACTGGCCACGGGCCCACGCGCGAGACCCATGGGACAGATTTCGGGCGCGCGTCAAATTCGCGGGCCCAGCGTTGTACTGTTGGTGTTAACTGCACTTGGCCTGGGAACAACAAGGCCGCAAGATGCGGCGGGGGGCGGCGGCGGGCGCCGACCCCCGCCGCATCTTGCAGCGGAGCGTGTCCCCAGGGAAGGTCGAATCTAACCGTGAGAAAAAACAATGCGTTAACACAACAAGTACAAACACCACGTAAAAACAACATGTAAACATTTATTTATGTATTCATTATTTATGTGTTAACATCAAAAACGTTAAAACGACACGGAAACACGACACGTAGAAACAACACGCAACACGTAAACACAACACGTAAAAACAACACGCAAACGGGCGAGGACAGACGACGACGACGCCCACGACGACCACGACGACGACGACGACGACAACGACCGAAGATAAACAGACGTTGGACAACAATGACCACGACTGGCGCCCACTGACCGACGACAACGACAACGAAGGACGACAGCGACGACCGACCGACCCGCAAGTGGCGACCGACGACGAACAACTGACGCCTACGGACGACCGACGACGACCGACGACGACGACAACGACAACGACAACGACAAACGACCACGACAGGCCACGACGGACGACGACGACGACCGACGACGACGACCGACGACGAGGACGGCCCAAGAGGACCCCACGAGAGCCCCAAGGCGACGGCGAGATGCCTCCAAGATGGCCTCTGAAGGGGCCAGACGGCGTACGAGCGCTCCCAGACGGCCCGAGACGTACCCAACAGGCCCCAAGAGGCCCCAAAGAGGCCCCAAAGAAGCCCCAAGAGGCCCCCAAGAGGCTTCCAAGAGGCTCCCAAGAGGCTCCTCCAAGAAGCCTCACCCCAAGAGGCCTCGAGAAACCATGCTGACGCCTGCGTACTCGTATACGATAGCACGTTCTTGGGGCGGGCCGAACGGCAAGGCTCCACAACGACATCCTTACTACACGTGCTGTGCTCCGACAAGAAAGGCGAGAGAGCCAACGACTGGACTGCGCGTCTTCTCTTCCCATGCTGTTTTTTTTCGGCTCTCAGAGGGCCATGACGGCCCGAGCAGTCTCCAAGAAGGCCCTAAGACGGCCCAAGAGGCCCCCAAGGGGGCCCCAAAAGGCCCAAGAGGGCCCCAAGACGGCCAAAAGAGGCCCCCAAGACGGTCCAAGAGAGACCCCGCGACAGCCCAAGAGGACTTCAAGAGAGCCCCAAAGCGGCCGCGAGAGGCTTCCAAGACGGCCTCCGAAAGAGCCAGACGGCGTAAGAGCGCCCCAAGACGGCCTAAAACGTCCCCAAGAGTCCCAAAGAGGCCCCAAAGAGGCCCCTACGATGCTTCTAAGAGGCTTCCTAGAGGCCCCCAGGAGGCCTCACAACGACTGGACTGTACGTGCTCTGGACGTGAGTCTCCACCTGCTGTGCAGATGACATGTATACCAGAACTGGGCGAAGTGCTCCCTAGACGTGTGGAGGGGAAGAGGCGGAGCGCACCAAAGGGATTTGGAGTCAACCAAGACTTGCGAGAGCTCAGCTACAGATTACTATGATCACTGTGACTGCAGCGACTGGTACTGCCAACGCTGCAAACGGGAGAGGAGGAGTACGAGACCGTTTCTGTATCCGTTGACTGTAACACGTTACCACGGTGGGGGGAGCGCGGTCGGGGGTAACGGTAAGGGCGGCCGCGACGTGCACCCGCCAGGGTGGGCCCGCGCAACCACAGTCTTCGTGCACACGGCACGGCAATGCGTGCTCCCTGTGTGCACGACAGTGCTCGATGCCTGCCTGCAACACAGCGCCGCCTGCGTACATCACATCAGCCACGCACAACCACAGCACCGCGATGCCTGTGCACCACAGACCCTGTGTACATTACAGAAGCCGCGTGCGCAACAGCGCCTGCGTACACCAGTGCACGCAAGCACCGGAATGCTTGTGTGCACCACAGCGCCTGTGTACACCACAGCAACCATGTGTACCATAGCGCCTGCACACACCACAATGCCTCCGTGCACCACAACGCCTGTGCGCACACCACAACGCCAAACGTGCCATCGGGCACACGAGTAGCTTGCGAGCACCACGTTGCGCTTGTGAGCACCGCAGTGCGCCAGGGGCCACCACATGGTGGAATAGCGCAAGCCTCTTGCTTGGATGCCAGTAACAGCGGGCCTGAAAGAGGACATGCGGAGCCTTTTTTGCGGGGCTCGCCACAGACCGCGGAGGACCTCCTCCTCCTCCGCCTCCTCCTCCTCCACCTCCCCCTCCACCTCCTCCTCCCCCTCATCCTCCTCGTCCCGTCGTCGCCGCCAGAACCATAGGGCACCGACCGGGAACGGCCGACTGCGACATAGAGGGCCCGCTCGCTCCAGAGGGCCCCTCCTCCTGCCCTTGCTGGTCCCCTTCGTCTTCCTCCTCCTGCTGTTCCTCCTCCTTCTCCTCCTCTTCCACCTCTTCGCGGATCCGCGGGGCTAGCCGCAGACTCAGGAGGCCCTCGGGGCTTGTCCTTCAGGGCTCTCGCGGGGGAGGCCTCAGCAATGGTCGTGGCCAGGCGTGCTTTCACCGTGCGGATTGTCGCTATTTCTGTTGATGGACGAGCCGCAATGGTTTGCAAGAGCTGGAGGGGTGACCGGAGCGCGAGGTGGAGCAGCAAGATAAGAAACAAGAGCGGGAACAGGAGGAACAGAAGAAACCCCGCGACGGAGCAGCAACAGGAGCAGCAACAGAAGGAGCAACACGTCCTCCTACTCCCCCTCCGCCTCCTCCTCCTCCTCATCGTCCTGTCCCTCCTACCCTGATATCATCATGTTGCACCGCAACACTTGCGTACACCACAACGCCAGTATACAACACAGAAGCCACGTGCATCACAGCGCTTGTGTGCACCACATTGCCTGCGTGCATCACAACGCCTGTGAACACCGCAACGCCTGTGCACACTAAAGCACTAAAGCAGCCATGGGCGCCGCAGCGTACGCGTACACCAATGCCTGCGTGCACCACGGCGCCCGTGTACACCGCAGTGCACTGGCCCTGCGTGCACGTACATGCTTGCGTGCGCCAGAGCGCCTGTGCACTTTCACTGTCCTTTGGAAGCTGCACGAATTCACGCGTGTGGCCAGCTCGAAAGCGTGAACGTTACGGGGGGGATCAAGGGGGAGAGTAAAACGTGTTACACCGGGGGGGATAACATACCAATCTTTATGACAAAAAAGGTAACCAATTTCACAAGCATCAACTATCAGAGGTCTGCGCGGATCTTCTGAAGTTTACGCTTATGAGGTTATTTTTCATTCGGAAGGACAAAAAACGGATACGGAGGCGCCCGCCCATTCCCAGGGAGCCCCTCGCCACTCCTCTAAAGCCTCGTCCTCAAGACTCCCATCAGACGGCAGACGCAGCAGAGCAGGTTAGAGGCGGAACCCCGCAACCAAACGCACGCCATAGGTGTCAGGGCCGAGTCGTGAGCGGTAAGTACATGCGCACGGGATTACCAGGAAGCTGGGTGTCTATCATGTGGCGAATGCATGGGGTCGCGTACCCGTCGGATCGCAGTAAGATCTCTGGACCACGCAGACGCAGATATGGTTGTGACCTCCGATCTGAGCTAGGAAAACGCATTCCGACTTTGCCCACCGCGTCGGACTGAGAGAACAACAGAAGGAATGGTAGTGTCATCTTGTTGCCCCAATGGAAGGACAAGCAATTAATCCCCTGGGCACCCAATTGGCAATGGGTTCTGATTCAAAGAGGTTGGCATGGACGCAAAGCAAGCTATGACCGGCCAGCTGCCAGGCAAAAGCGCCTTCGTGAAGATGTAAAAGGCATCGATCATCGCTGCAGCGTCTCGGTGTTCAGGGCTCCGATGCTAGTATTGCCTCCCTCATGCCCAAGTTTACTCCTCCACTTCGATCCCGCCGCTGTCGCGCTCACTGTTCGCTTGCCGCCACGAACGAAACGAAAGAGAGGGTAACGGGACTGAAGCGCGTGCCAGTTGTCGGTGCCCGATGCCTCATGAACAGGATGCAGAGAAGCGAACCGCCCGAATGCTGTTGGGCGATTCCCACGCGTTCAACGATTCTGAGATCCTGCATAACGAGCTTTAACCACAATCAGAGACCAAATACGTCGATCTCCCTCAAGCTAATGCTCAACCGTTGGAAATTGTTCCACGAGAGTTTCGCCAGTCGAAGTTTCAATACATCGATTTCGTCATCAATTCAGCCTGGAAGGCTGTGGTCGAACCGTTGAGGGTCCAGTCCAAACGCGTACCAATCCGACGACGTGAAACTCAAATACTGTGGAAGCGTCTCGGATTGCGGCGCATCCGTCAGCATTACGCTAACGCGTGCGCCTATCGCAGACAAGACATCCCCACCACAGCCTCCTCCTCCCCCTCCGGAGGCCACCAAAATAGGGCCAGAGCACATAGGGTTGGAGGATCGCACTGCATCGCCGATGCATCGCTTGATGCATCGGCGCTTGATGCATCGGCGACCTCGAATATCAGGCCCCGGGTCGCACCGATCGTCGATGCATCGGGGATGCGGCACGATCCTCCGACCCCATCTGCTCGGGCTGGACCCTCACCACGATTCCGACTCCAGGGGCCCGCGCGAGAGGCGCGTGGAGCCCAGCGCGCGCCCCTCCGCTCCTCCAACTCCTGCTGCTCCTGTGGACACTCCTCCTCCTCCTCCTGCTCCTCGTCTTCCTCCTCCAGTAGTATCATCCGTGACCTACTTGTCCTTCCTCCTCATCATCATCATCCCTCCTCCGCGTCTTCCCTTCAAAACGTCCATCGCATCGACGAGATCGGTGAACCACCTCGACTGCAAGCAAGCCTCTTGCTCTCTGTCTCTTGCTATCATGCCTGTGTCGCCCTCCTCCTGATCCTACTAGTGGTCGTCCTCCCGCTCCTGGTTCCCCTCATCGTCCTCATCCTCCCTGACCTCTCCTCCTCCTCCTCCTCTTCCTCCTCCTCGCCTTCGTCATCATCATCAGCACCATCATAAAATTGTTGTCATTATTACACATACCCCTTTTCGGATTCTTCCTCATTGTCACCATCATCACCATCATCATCATCATCAGCAGCAGCAGCAACATCAGCATCAGCATCAGCAGCATCATCGTCCTCCACCTGCTCATCCTCCCATGCAGTACCAGAAGCGGGCTTTTGCTTGAGGGAGGGTAGCGGCCAGCGTGGGGGTGGGGGCGGCCGGGGGCGCTCGAGCCGCAGAGGAGGAAAAGGGAGGGAGGAGGGGAGGGAGGAGGTGGAAGAGGAGAAGGCGGAGGAAGAGCATCTGAGCATCGGGGGGGCTGCGGCCGCGGGCGCCCGAGCAGGATGCGGGAGAGACAGAGAGAGAGAGAGAGAGGCAGAGAGAAACGCACAAACACACAAGGATGAACAGACCGACGGACAGGCGGACAGGCATCTAGACATTCTTCATTGACAAGGCGTGCGCATCTAGCTCGTACGCTCTGGGGAACGTCTCCACTGGAATCAATGAGAACGGCTCTTGTGAAGCTGAGCTTGAAGATGTAGTCGGCAGACAGACATACGGAGACAGGCAGGCAGAAAGACCGAGGGAGAAATGGCGGCCGACTCGCGAGCGGTCTGGGGGAGGGTCAGAGGAGGTTAGTTGAGCCACCGGCGGGCCTCCTGCAAGGAGAAAGGAGAGGGCAAACTCGGTGCGCTCGCGCCCCTCCCGCCCATCCAACGTTATTGCATCTCTCTACCATCCGCCGAATGGGGTGTCCAAGAATGCCTTGATCATCAAAATATGACCGTATGACTTGTCCTATCGTTGGCTGCGCAGTCGGCGAAGGAGACCTTTTGTACAGCGGCCCTCCTCCCTTGGCAATTCCCACTCGTGTGCCAGCTCCGTCGGGCTGGCGGCACGTGGCCACTGGTCGCTGTGCTCCGATGTCCCCGCGGACAGGTAGAAGCGTACTTTCATCCGCACGCCGAGCGGCACATTCGCAGAGCAGAGCGCGCGCTGATACGGCCTACAGCAAGCACAGCGATCGCGGGCACCATCCACCCGGCCGAAGCTTACCGACCGGCAGATAGAAAAGACTAACTCCTCTTGCCCGCCTCCTGGTACCAACTACCTCTATCCCCCCACTCCTTCCCATCAAACTCGCTTCCTCTCCGTCTTTCCCCCCCCACCGTTATTATATGTTTTGTTATTATTATGTTTTTGTTTTTTTTTTTATGGTTTCTTCTCTCTCTCTCTCTTCCCCCTCCCTCCCCCTCAACTCCATCTCTCGTCCCTCCCCTCCCGTCCCCTTCCCAACTCCCTTCGTCCTCGTGCTCGGCGTCAAAGCACTCAAATCTTCTGCCTTGTAATTCCCAGCCTGCCCACTGCTCGGAATGGCAACTCCTTCGGCCTTCGACGACGAGGCAATTCCTGGGGTGCCCCTGTTGGTGACCCTTGCCTTAACAATGAACAGCACCCCGCCTGAAAACCGCCGCCGCGAACGAAGTTTTCGAAACTAGGGCAATTCACCTGCCCGTCGCCCCCGGATGACTGGAGGGCTCAGCGTTCCCTTTGGAGCTCCTGAAAGGTGGGCCCTAGGTGGCGGGGCCACGGAAGCGGCGACTGGAACTGATGAGCCAGCCCTAGATGCGATATCTAACGCCGAATGCGCCCGCCCGTGCCCGCCAGCGATTTCCATGTCCAGGGCGGCCTGCATCCAGCAGCGCGTGAGATGGCGCCAAGAACCTATCCTCCGTCGGCGTTGAAAACGCCGTCGCTGAGCAGACATATATTTTTGTCAGAAGAACTCTCGGCCACCCCGACTTCTGAATTTTAGGGCAGCGACTGTCGATCGCGCGAACGCCGCGCCAAAAAACAACCCGCCACGCGATAACACGAACCGTCGAACGAAGAACCCCACGGACGCTGGAATGGGAAAACCCCGCTAGCAGCCTCCAAACACCACGGGGCGAAACTGGGGCGCCCGTGAAGAAACGAGGGGCCCCGTCAACGCAATGGTTTCTCTAGACCCTACCCAGCCTTGGAGCTACCCTCTTCCAATGCGCGACGACTACATGGAAATGCAAAGCGAACGCCTGCATAACGCGCGCCTGCTCGAATCTTGCAAACCACAGCTTTTCCGAGGAGTGTTCGGCCGCGCCGAATTTCTAGTTTCAGGGCGGCAGCCTTTAATCGGGCGAACGCCACGCCAAATACAAACAACGCATCTCATGAGTACAAGAGCCGTCGAACGTGGAAACGTACGGACGCTGGAATAGGACAGTCATGCTGGAAACCCCCAGGCACCGCGGGGCAACATCCGAGCGCCCGCGGAAAAAGGAAGAATACTATCCATGAAAACGCAATCGTTTCTCTGGACTCTCTGGTCCCCCTCTCCACCCTTCGAACCTCCCTTTGGCGATGCACAGCGACTACATGCTAATGCAAGCCGAACGCCTGAATCACGCGCGGTTGCCCGAATGTTGAAGACTCTGCCATTTCCCCAAGCACGCTCGGCCGCCCCCCATTGCTTCTCGATGTTCGGGCTGCCACGTTGATGGTTCGAGCCCCGCGCAACAAAAAACGCGATTGCAAGAGCTGCCGGACGGGGAAACTCACGGGCGCTGGAATGGGAGACTCCCGGTGGAAACCTCCAGGCACCGCGGGGCGAAACCCGAGCGCCCACGAAAAACGACGAGTCCTGTAATCGCAGCCGTTTCGCTAGACCACCTCTCCAGCCTTTGAACCTTCCTCTTCTTGCGCACAGCGACTGCATGGCAATAGGAAGCGAGCGCCTGAATGCCGCGCGCCCGCCAAAAATTTGAAAGCGCCCCCCTTTTCCCAAGATTCCTCGGCCACCCCGAGTTTTTTTGAATTCGGGCAGCAACCGCGTACGGGCGACTGCGACGCCGCAGAAAAAAAACATGGGAAGAGAAACACGCACTAACAAGCAAATACATGCTTGTAAGGGCCGTCAAGCGCGTTACGCATGAACGCTGGAAAGGGAACCCCCCGCTGGAACCCCTGAAGTACCAGGAAACGAACCCCAAACGCCCGCCAGAAACAACGAGCCCTGCAAACGCAATCGCGCACACGAAACCCCCTCTCCACCCTTCGAACCTACGAGTGCCGATGCACGGCGACGATATGAGAATGCGCCACGAACGCGTGAACAACGACCGCCTGTCCGAATTTTGAAAACTCCCCCGTTTTCCCCATAACCCTCGGCCACCCAGAGTTTCTTGTTTCAGGGCGGTAACCGTTGATCCAGCGAACGCTGCGCCGCCGAACAACCCATCGCACGTTCACAGGTAATGCGCGAACAATGTACGGCGAGCCTCGGCGGCCGCAGGCGGGCGGCGGCAGGCGCGCGGCGGCGACGACGGGGGGGCGGCCGGAGAGCGAGGAAGCAGGCGCGGGCCGCGTCGGCGTCGGTGAGGGGAAACGACAGGGAGAGACGCAACCGAAGCCGACGGTATGGATGGGGAACCGTCCCAACGGTACTATTGCATCCGTGCCTCGCCAGGCCGTCCCTAGCCACTCTCGGTGACCAGCAACGCGCGAAAAGCCTCGACATGGGCGCCCACGGCGACTTGCATCCTTATCGCGCGTTCCTACTCCCAGTTTCGACTGCTGGGATTTGCCCTCGACGGGCCCCTCGACGGGCCTTCCGCCGCGGAAGACTTGGAAATTCCTTGGGTCCTCGAAGGCGGGGCAAGATTCTGGACCGCCCCACTTGGTATGGAACCTTGCCTTAGCAATGGAAGCTGCACCCTGCCTGAAAACCGCTGCTACGAACGAGATGTTCAAAGCTAGGGCAACTCACCTGCCGGTCGCCCCTGGATGACTGGAGGGCCCAGCGCTCCCATTGGAAACCCTGAAAGGTGGTCTCTGGGCATTGGGGCGACGGAAGTGGCAACTGATACTGATGAGCCCAGAATTCATTTCCCGGGAGCCCGGATACTTTCCCCCGTTCGCCCGGATCAAATTCTCCATTCGACTGAAGGAAATTTCCCCGTTCGGGACCGAGTTTCTGGTTTCGCGGTTGGATTTCCTCGCTCGCCTTTGGCCCGGAAAGACCCCCGATAAGGCCCCGCAAGGGTCCGAGACAACCCGTGTAGCCCGCGCAATGACCTTTCACGGGGGTGTCGAACAAAGTCTCCTGACACGGAAATGACAGCAAGCAGAGCCCCGTGCGGCTTCACACAGGACGCCGCGCTGGCACGGTGACGGGACTTGCTGCGGGCATTCATGCGTTTACATGTTCGCGCTACGACTGCGCTCGGCGGCCATTGCCGCCCACGCTGAGATCGCGCCCCAAACGTTTACATGGGCCACCTCCGCTTCTTGGCAGCGCCGCTGTGCTCAGAAACAACATCGATTCGCACGAACACGCCAGATGCTAGTGATCGGGGCACGCGCGCTGCTTCAAGGCACTACAAGCCCGACCAGTACTGCTTCCACGGATTCCCTCCAGTTGCGTAGAATCCCTGCCCCCCGCACCCTCGCCAATGCACCATCGGGCCGCGTCGGGGCACGCCAAACGCGCCCTTGAATTTCCCATCTGGACGCGCTGATCCGCCAAGCGCGCCGCCGCGTGAAACTTGAAAACTTGGCCCTCCTAGCAATTAGCCCACGAGTCCGAGAACTTTAGCATGCCGGTCTGGGGCAAGAAAGGACGGTGCATTCTTCCCCTTTCATGAGCTCGGCCGGTCAACTTACGATATTGTTTTCTTGACGGAAACGTGGCGGGAGGAGCGAGAGGAGATCGTTGAATCTCCTCGTGGGGACATGCTTTACTTCAGCGGTGGATCAAAGCACCGCGGTGTTTGCATTGGCTTGTCCAAAGACTTCCTCAAGCAGCTGAGTGGGGTACAATTCCGTTCGCTTTCTGAGAGGGTCTGTGCATTGGATTTTCGGCATGGCGCTACACACTTTCGAGCTATATGCCCCTACTTCCCGACTTCCTGGGATGCGCCCGAGGCGGCCGAGGAGGTTTTCATGTTACTAACCCTTCTACTTGATGATGGTAAGCGCCAGGGTAGGATCCCGATCATCGGGGGGGACTTCAATGCCTCTACTGGTGCACCACAAGAGAGGGATGACGCAGACTTGTTGGGATCATGTTGGCTCGGGGTGCGCAGCGCTCGTGGGCAGATGCTGATTCGATGGCTCTTGGAACACAGGCTGCAGATTTTGAACCGCCAGCCGGATGCGCAAAATGCCCCTGATTCGTGGACTTGCTTACGTGCTTTCGACGGGTCACGTGTCCAGATTGATTTTCTATGCGTTGATGGGTGTTTTGAGTTTGTCCAAAGTTGGTGCGATAATGCGTTGGCTGTTGGTCTCGACCATAGGTGCGTCCATAGCCGGTGCAGGTATTTGACTCAAAAGCGAGAGCGGCCTCTGCGAGCGAGGAGTTTCAAGGGTTGGCAGCCTCGTTCGGATTCGTCTGGTGTTGCAGCTTCCTTCCACGAGTTTCTCTCCCGATGTACTCCCGATGATGCGACCTTCGAGGACATAGAGCACACTTTGCAACAAGCAGCCGGCCATTGCAGGAGCAGGAAGCCGACCGTCCAGCACAAATTCACGCCATCAAATGGTCTACAGATTCTGCGGTCCAGAAGGCGACAGGAGAACGACCAATCTGTTAGAAGACAGCTTTCGCTGCAAATCCGCCGAATGCACCGCAAAGAGACGAGAGCTTGGAAGACGGCGCGTTTGCAGAGATACTTGTCTACGACGTCGTGTTGGCGGGGATTGAAAAAGCTATCTGAGAACGTTTCGGGTAAGAAGGTGTCGCAGCAGCCGCCGCCAGACGAGTTTGCAGAGATGCTGCGGGACGTATTCTTAGGGACTGCTAGGGACATGCAGCCGCCATCTCTTACGGAGGCGCCGTTCACCGTGGAAGAGATCGACAAGGGCATCCCTCGATTAGGCTCTAACAAGGCCCCTGACGATTGCGGCCTGGTGGCGGAAATGCTAAAGCACTCGAGCGCAGATCTGCGGGAGTTACTTACGCTCTACAATGCTGTTCTCGCGGGCGGAGACATTCCAGCATCTTGGCACAAGACATTCTTCATTATGCTCGCAAAGAATTTACACGCCAAATCAGTCGGCGACTTTCGCCCGATAGCGAACATCCGCCTACTCTACAAGCTGTTTGCGTACATGTTGCTGGAGCGCGTCGAGCACGTCCTACAGTCGCAACAACCCGAGGAACAACATGGATTCAGATCTAACCGGCGGTTGGAAGAGCATTTGTTGACGGCAACACTTGTTATTGAGAAGACATTGGCGGCTTATCAAAAGCATTCGACCGAGTATCCTGGCCAGCGTTATGGGGGGCTCTTGGGCAGCTCGGTGTCAGCGACCATCTGATTTGGACAATGCACCGCTTGTATCGCGATCAAGAAGGGCAAGTCTTGGGCGATTGGGCCAAGAGCCAAACTTTTCCCATCAATGCAGGCGTTCGCCAAGGGTGCGTACTCAGCCCTGTACTTTTCGCAGCTGTTCTGGAGTGGGCCATGCGCGCTTGGAGAGCTCGCGTCGCAGACCTGGGATTTGATTTAGGAGACGGTTTACGGCCGCTCATAGATTTACGTTTCGCCGACGACATTCTATTGTTCGCCAAGACAGCGGGCGAAGCCAAATTGCTGCTGGACACACTGGTAGAGGAGTTGGCAAAAGTTGGATTGATTCTGAATGCGGCCAAGACGGTGGTAATGACAACAGAGGCGCAACCTCCGCCACAAATCACCACGCGGGCCGGCGCGGAGATTCAAGTGTTGCCCCAGAGTGCCGCCCACAAGTGGTTGGGATGTTTGCTGGCAGTCGGTGGTTCTGGAACGCACCATCTGGACGTGGAGTATCATCTGGCATCCGCGAACAAAGCTTTCTTTGCAAACAGGGCCATATCATGCGACCGGAATGTTTCTCTTACTGCCCGCCTCGAGTTTTTCGGCCGCGTCGCAACGTCTGTGGCGTGCTTCGGGGCTGGTATGTGGAAGCCGTACAGGGACTCACTGCATAAAGTTGACGTGGAATTCAGGCGATTGTTGCGGCAAGTTGTCGGTCCGCCTGCCGGCGTGGACTGGTCGCGGCCTTGGCATGAAATCTTACACCTCTGGCACGAGCGGCTCAATCAAGCATTGACCCAACATTACATTCGCACGTGGTCGAGAGAATCCCTGAAGAAATATTTGGATTTTGCATATTATGTTGCGAATTTACCTCCGGAGCGATGGGTGCAGAGAGCCTTGCGCTGGACACCGCCTGGGTCGCGCTCACAGGGTCGTCCTCTCATGTCGTGGGATGAGAAGCTGGTGGCTTTTTGCCGAACAAATCACATTGGATCGTGGCAAGAAGCCGCGCAAGACGTCGCTGCCTGGGCAGATATGACGGAGGACTTCTTGGATTTCTGCGAGTGAGCACGCCCGCCGCTTCCTGCTTGCACTGTAACTTGTTCTTCCCTCGCGCCCTATATGGGCCCGCCCTCGTGCGAGCGGGGTGACTTGACTTGACTCATGAGTCAATGAGAACGGAGAGAGGAAGGGGCAGGAAGGAGGGAGGCAGAGGAAGGACGACGGAGGGCGGGCGGAGGGGTCGGACGGAGAACGGAGGGAAGACGGCAGGGGGAGGGGAGGATGCGAGGTGGAACCAACAAGCGAAGATACAGACCGAGCCGAGCCGGCAAAACGCGGCGCATGAGGACGAACGTTGGGGCCATCAGGGCCGTCTTTGAGGGGCTTGTCGAAGTCCCCCCAGGGGCTTCTGGGAACGTTTTGGAGCTCTCTGGGGCAATCTGGGGGCTCCACGGCGCCTCCGGGGTGCTCAGGGAGCGGTCTCGGAGGCCCCGGTCCCCCCATGCGCGCTCCAGGTCCCGGCCCCGGGCGCCTGGGCCTCTTGCGCGAGTGTGTACATATACAAATACATATAAAAGAATTATCCCGGCAAAGCAACCTAACAGCGATGTCTAGAAACATATCTGGAAGCATTCCCCTTAAGATTCAGATCAGAATCCAGTTGTAGAATTCTGCTGTTCTCGCAGTCGCAGTCGAATTCGCGATGACAGTCGCAGCGGCAACGGCAGTCACAGTCACAGCCTCAGCCTCGGCCTGCCTCAGCATCAGCCTGCCTCAGTTTCAGCCTCAGCCTGCCTCGGCCTCATCCTCAGCCAGCTTCAGCCTCAGCCTCAGTCTGCCTTCAGCCTCGGCCTCGGCCTCAGCCTGCCTCAGCCTCAGCCTGCATCAGCCTCAACCTCAGCCTCAGCCTGCCTCAGCCTCAGCCTGCTGCGCTCTCGCATACTCCTGCGGCCTCAGCCTGCCTCGGCCCCAGCCTGCATCAGCCTCAGCCTCAGCCTCAGCCTGCCTCAGCCTCAGCCTGCTGCGCTCCCGCATACTCCCGCGGCCTCAGCCTGCCTCAGCCTCAGCCTGCTGCGCTCCCGCATACTCCCGCGGCCTCAGCCTGCCTCAGCCTCAGCCTGCATCAGCCTCAGCCTCAGCCTCAGCCTGCCTCAGCCTCAGCCTGCTGCGCTTTCGCATACTCCCGCGGCCTCAGCCTGCCTCAGCCTCAGCCTGCATCAGCCTCAGCCTCAGCCTCAGCCTGCCTCAGCCTCAGCCTGCTGCGCTCCCGCATACTCCTGCGGCCTCAGCCTGCCTCGGCCCCAGCCTGCATCAGCCTCAGCCTCAGCCTCAGCCTGCCTCAGCCTCAGCCTGCTGCGCTCTCGCATACTCCCGCGGCCTCAGCCTGCCTCAGCCTCAGCCTGCATCAGCCTCAGCCTCAGCCTTCAGCCTCAGCCTCAGCCTGCCTCAGCCTCAGCCTCAGTCTGCCTTCAGCCTCGGCCTCAGCCTCAGCCTGCCTCAGCCTGCCTCAGCCTCAGCCTCAGCCTCAGCCTGCCTGAGCATCAGCCGGCTTCAGCGTCTGCCTCAGCCTGCCTCAGCGTCAGCCTCAGCCTCAGCGCCTCAGCCTCCGGGCATCCAAAATGTGGCCCGGGAGTGAGTGGAATTTTGGGAACTCGAAGACCACGAAGTGGCCTACAGTTGGCTCCGGGCACCCAAAATGTGGCCCGGAAATGGAGTTCTGGAAACTCGAAGACCACGAAGTGGCCTACAGTTGGCTCCGGGCATCCAAAATGTGGCCCGGGAATGGAGTTCTGGGAACTCGAAGAGCACGAAATGGCCTACAGTTGGCTCCGGGCATCCAAAATGTACGCCGGGAATGGAGTTCTGGGAAGTCGAAGAGCACGAAGTGGCCTACAGTTGGCTCCGGGCATTCAAAATGTACGCCGGGAATGGAGTTCTAGCAGCGCCAAGAGCGATTTTGCGAGGATGTCCCAAGCGATTTGGGCTTCGACGGCAGCCGCCCCTGGTCCCGCCCCGACCCCCCTGAGGAGTCATGATGCTCTCTTTTGACCCCACTAGAAACCTATCAGTCTTCGCTGTTAGGTAAGAAGAAGAAGAAAGAACATACATATACACATACACATACATACAATTCGATCACACTTGCTCTCTCTCTCTCTCTCTATATATGTATCGCTCTCTCTCTCTCTCTCTCTCTCTATATATATATATATATTTGTCCCTTTCTACCTCCCTATGCTTGTGTGCTGGTTGTTTTCTCTCCCTTTCGTTCTCTCTCTCTCTCTGTCTCGCTATTTCTCTCTCTCTCACTCTCTTTCCTTTCTGTATACATAAATGCATATATATATACACCCCTGCCCATTCACGATCCCCACTCCATGACTTCGTTTACCCAACCTCCCTCCCCTCGCCCTCCTCGTCACCTCCTCGTCCCTCCTTTCCCCTACCCCCTGAACCTCTTACTCGCGTCCCCCTCCCCTTCCCAATCCGTCCCGACCTCCCTTTCCACTCCCTCCCCCCAATTCCTCCCCTCTGCCCCCCTCTCCTCTCATCCCCTTCCACCTCCCTGTCCACTCACCCTCTCCATCCATCCCCATCGTCCCCTCCCCTTTCCGCCCCGTCCCTCGCTATCCCCAGTGTGCGCCTCCCCTTACCCCGATCTTCCAACCGCTGGGGGCAAGGCCACGATCACTCCATTTCCAACGGGTTGGGCTGCAGCAGCTGCTTCACGCGGCCACTCACCAGGTCGACGCGAGCCAGGACGGGCTCTCCCCCCTGCTCGGCCAGGCGAAGGCGCACCTGCTGGTGGCATCGAGCAGGCGAGGTAGCCTCCTCCTCCCTCCTTCCTCCTGGGCCTGAACGGATGGGAGGGGCCCCCCCGGGGTCCAGGAGCCCCGCGGACACCAGCAGACCCCAACCCGCATGCATAGCGGACAAGGGACGAGGGCAAAGAGACGCCCAGCGGACACGAGACCGGGAACGAGAGACGCTGGTGGCATGGGACAAGGAAGAGGAAGGACGCCCCAAGCAGGCAGGAGAAGGAGGGGGGATCAGGAGGAGCGACAAACCAGGACATCCGACGTCGTGAAGTCTAGGCCCCTTCCTGGGCAGTGGCTTTTCATCCAGTACGTTGTTTAACGGCCTGGAGGCGCAGGAAGGGGCCCCAAAGGCCGAACATCGATCGGTACACCAATCGCAACAAGTAATGCGATTGTTTCCTGGCGACGCGAAGATGTCCGGGAACGATGAGGGGTCAGGTGGGCGAGGGACAGGGGACAGCGTGCACCTCCTGCACGGAGGTCCAGTCGCCCAGGCAGCAGCCGACAGAGCGACCGCCCCACGTGGCGAGCCAGCGCGCTCGAGCGCCGCCCTGGTGGTCATCTCTCTCGCTGCTTCCGCCTGCCTCCACCGCCCGCGCACCGTCGCCTCATCCAGTTCTCTCGACAGCCAGCTCCACACGGCCTCTGGGTGACGATCGGAGGACCGATGCGGTCAGTGTGCCACCATAAGGAATGCAGAACAGGTAACGACGGGGCATTCCTGGCCACGGCGAGCCTCTGCCACGACGATGTCCCCCAACTTACAGCCAAGAAGCGGCCCAACAAAAACAGAACCACTCCTAAGCCCAGTGGTCCTCGTGTCAGCGTCTTGGCTGCACAGTTCTCGACAGCCAGCTCCGCGCAGCCTCTGGGTGTCGACTGAGGGGCCGATGAACGTGACCCCAGTGGCGAGGTGCTCCCCAGGCGAACGGCGAGACCCGTCGCTTCACTTTTGCCGACGCTGCCAGGCTCGGCCTGAGACCCCGCTGCCTCGGGGAACACGCATGAGGGCGCCCGTGCACCACCACCGTGCCTGCCCGAGGCCAGAGGGTCTGTGCTCTGCGCGCCATTCCTGGGCCCAGGATGGCCCTGGCCAAGCACGGTGGCGGTGCAAGGCGACCTTCTGTAGATCGGGAGGCCACACGGACCCCACCGCCCCCACTGGAGACGAGCTTCCCGCCGCGGCCGTCTCCAGCGTCGTTCGTCCCCTCACCGTTCGTCATCCCTGGCGCCTCTTCGATATAGGCCTCCGGCAACGACAGCTGGAGGATCTCGCCCGTCTCCTCGTCAAGCGCCTCTCCAGCGCAACCGGGGGGCGTCCTCCAGCCCCTCTATCTGGGGACCTTCCCAGGCGATCACAACAAGTGCCCAGCCGATAGAAGGGCGGCCTCCGCCAGACAAAATGGACCCGACGGCCCCCTCATCGATCAGTCCGCCCCACGACCCCACGGAGGCATCCGGGCGTAGGGCTAATGGAGCAGGGACTGGAACGCCAGTGGGCCCGCTTCTGCCGCCCCGTCAAGACTTGATGAAAACCATAATCAGCAGCAGAGGCCCCATGATGTTGACCCAAGAATGCGGAAGTTTAGTATCTTAGGCTATGCGGTCAAAAACTTGTGCTTAGCGAGTCGCGTCGGCGCCCCCCTGCGACACGCTATGCCTTGCGAACTGACAGCGTGTCGCTTCAATCCGTGGGACGAGGGTCTGGGAAAGGCTCGGAACGTTGATGCTTGGGGACTGGGACATGATTAGCGTGGAGCACCGAAGCTTGGTGGACCAGGACCGACAGCGCGACCTGCCAAGCAAGCGTTCCCAACATTATACAAACATGCACAGCCCAAACTCCTCATGATACAAAGACTGGCATATAGATCCTCTGGGCCCGAACTGGAAACTCTATACACTATCCCGGAAACCAAGAATGGAAAATACAAACTTCGGTGCCAACGCGGGCAACTGACAATTACAGCAAAAAGGCCCCGGGATGTCACAGGAAGTCCTCCGTGAACTTCCACATGGTCCTACTGGAAGCCCCCCTCAGAACCAATCGATCATGCCTGATGCTCACCCTCCTTCTCTTCCTCGACGCACACACCGACGAGGCCGCACAGTATGTAGACACCTTCGCCATCCAACGTGTCTATCCACGCGCGATTAGTGAAGTTGATTTCGCATCGGACTCAGCACATGGTATGCGAACAACACTTACCGTTTTTGTCAAATTGGAACTTTGTCGTTTCACAAGCTGGAGGCGTCGCATCTGACACACCCTACCTTGCAACATCCAACGCGAAATTAAGCAGATGCCCCCGTGGCGTATGAAGTCAAGCATCACGGCTGCTGGACAATGTGCAGCTTCTCAGCATGTGCGCCCACTGTAAGGTCAACCTCGTGGTCATTTCATGCGAAAGCTCACGCATCAAGCGCGAACATAGGCCCGCCGTCATCACGTGTCCTCCTGCTGGCGAGCTTGCAGCTTATACGTTTCCGATGCTGTGAACTGCACTGCCGGAATGGGTGGCGGCGCGAGCCCAGTGCAAAACATTTGCGGATGGAGCATGTTAATTGGATTTATAGCGTTTGGATGCCGTAGGATTGAAGCAGGAAAAGAGTTCAGCCAGCTTGTCGGCGACGATTACCTGCGATTCGGGGAAACGTGGGAGTGAATGGGGCCACTGTCACGCTCGAATGTTCTGCCTTGACTCTTTCAGCTACTCATGCTCCAAGTCGCAATCCCTGCCTCCGAGCCATAAGAAAAACACCTGACGTCTCCCTGACGTGTAAGGAAAGATGCAGGGTCTAGCGCTGATGGTCCAAAACATGGACGTCTGGGCTGCAGGCGTTGCTAAGTGTGGCAGGAATGGGAGCGATTCGTATCGCAAAGGAAAAATGCGAATACACTGACACTGGCTGGCCGTAGAGATGCCGTGACCGAGTCCACACAATCGGCTGGCTGCGCGACAAGAGCACACCCATGCGGTGTCCACTTTGCGTGTGAATTCACAGATTGCAGAGGCTGCGGTCCAAGCCCACGGGCACTCCAATACGCACGAACGATGCGCGGCGGACATCGCAGTCGCATCGCTGGTGAATTAACGCACTCACCAAAGGGTCCGCGCCGTGTCCGTGCCCCCGACAAGTGTGAATTTACAACTTGCGATAGACGCCGCACTACCTTCGCATTAGAAACCGCACGCCAAGGTGAAAGTATGATTTGGCGAGTGGCGGCCGCCGTGTCTTGTCCTGCACGGACGAGCGCATCCCACGTCCACTGCTTCTCCCCCCTCCCCCCCCTCCTCCCAGGAGGCCCCGCAAGGCACCAAGTGGTCGGGAGCAGCCCGCTTCCGTTCCCACTTCGTCTCCTCCCCCCTTCCTCGTGGGACGCCCCACGAGGCACCATGGGCCTGACAAACACTTCAAGCCCATCCATGGCCAGATGGGGGAGCCCAGAAGCTTAGGCATCAAAGAAGAAGCCCACCTGAGGCCCTGAAAAAGCTCTCGAGCGGGCGCCCCAAGGCGCACGTTCTCGGCCGCTGGCACAATGAGCTCATAGTTGCAACTTGGGAATTAACTCACTGTGACGCATCCTCGACCGATGAAACCTTGGTACCAAAACGTCCTGATTTTCGGCATGGAAACTAACGGACGGCAATGAAAACAACTGGCCACCAAGAAATCCGCCGATCCGGCGTGTGAGTTTAAGAAAGCTACAACCTGAGCTTCAGCTCTGCTGAGGGGGCCTGGATTGGGGCCAGAACTCCGAGGCCCGACGACCCACCAACAAACCCACCCGTCAGGGAAGTAGCCCGCCATCAAACTCGACAGACGGACACGACGCAATCATTCCATTCAACACACAATACTGCCTAAAGCGACTGCCAACACCCTTCTTCCCCTCCTCCTCCTCCTCCTCCTCCTCCTCTTCCTCCTCCTTCTCTCTCATCCTCCCTCCTGCCCCCCCAAGGTAAAGCTCACAAACTATTGGACAGGACGAGGAGTTCGCACGGAGCGTTCCCGAGCTTCCCGGATCGGCGGCACAGGCCGGAGGCCTCTGCAATACATAGCGGACAGGGCCGGAATATCTTAAGTGTTTCAGAGCACTTGCGCAAACGTCGTCGGACAATGATAAATCCAACTGCCACAGCATTGACAGTCCACGAATGCGAGAACAAACATAATCGCACATGGAAAAGTACGTTCGCAAGGGCAAGACAACACCCGTGCAGGTCGCCTCAACCAAGAAATCCAGCGTATCTTCGGTCTCGCCGACAACCTTGCTGATCTCCACTTGGTGGTCGATTATCTTTAGCATCTCGGGATCCGCCGCACTCGTGCCGAGAGTCGACGTGTGTGTTTTAAAGGCTGGACAGCTCTGCGTGGACTCTGCGAGAGGTGGCCTCTGCAACGAATTGACCGAGATACCCCCTCACCTCGCAGCCCTCGAGACTCCCCCTCCAGGTGGCGCCGGGTGGGGGGGAGAAAAAAAAGGGACGACCGAACGGCGGACACGATGCTGAAGGTACGGGGGTTGGGGGCGGGGGTGGGGGGTAGGGGTAAGGACTGTCTGTGGTGGCTGGCGTGTGCGTGGAGAGTTGGCCCGAGCGCAAGCCCCAGCCTCCTCTATCATGTTCCTTATGAATATCTCCTCCCTGTCGCACCCCGAGGCGTGTCGGTAGGGCGGACCGGGCGCTTCGCCTGAGAATTCCTCACCATGTATGATCCTTAAGCTCAAGAGTCTCAACAGCTTCACGGATGGAGGGCAGGTGCTTTTCAAAATGAGGCTCTCGGAGCAGCGCCGCGCACATTCGTCTTAAACGTTTGCAGGAGCTTCACGGACGGAGGGCGGGCAGTTTTCAAAATGTGGCTCTCGCCCTAGCGCCGCGCACATTCGTCTTAAAAGCTTGCAAGGGCTCCACGGTTGGAGGGCATGCCATTTTCAAAATGTGGCTCTCGCCTGAGCGCCGCGCACATTCGTCTTAAACGGTGCACAAAGAATTCACGGATGGAAGGCGGTACCCTTCCAAAATGTGGCTCTCGCCTCAGCGCCGCGCACATTCGTCTTACGAGTTTGGAGCAGGACGCAACGCCAAGGTAAATTTGCAGCGTTGGACTCGAAGAAAATGTGTTTTGACACGGTTCAAGATGTGCAGACGGTTGTCTTTCAAGGGGGCACTTTCCGCAGTACCAATAAGTCCCTGTAATGAATCCCTGTATGTGGCCTATGAATAGGGAACTTGGAGGGAGGACTTGTTGCAACATCGTTGGTGGACCATGGCTTTTCACTCCTCCTCCTCCTCCTCCTCCTCCTCCTCCTCCTCCTTCTCCTCCTCTTTCTCCTCCTCCACCTCCTCCCCCTCCTCTCCGTCCTGCTCCTCCTCCGCCGTGGCGGCCATTTTGGCATTTTCCAGCTCCCACACCAGCGCAGACCCCTCGATGCGCCGCCACCCTTTCCAGCTGGCCTATGTCAAGCTGCGGGGGGGTTGACGGGCGGGCTTGGCGCATACCGAACTGCGAGGAGGCCCGCCAACGGGGTGGTGAACGAACGAGCCAGCCCTGCGGACAGTCGCCCAGGCAGGCCTTGCCTTGCTTGGATCAGCATGGGGGGTCCACGGCCTCGTGGAAAGTACACGCATGCATCGTGACAGCACGGGGAGGGGGGCGGGGGCGGGAGGCGCACCGCAGGGAGAGGGCAGAAGCGCGAGAGCTGCGTCGTGGGGTCCAGCCGTGCGACGGCTTTGCGCGCGACGAGCGGCCGGCGGCCGTGGGTCAGCTGAGGCATCTGTCACCACCACGCGTGGCGAGGGTCATCCGGGGCTCGTCCAGGAAGGTCCCCAGACCCCCCGTCTCGCGAAACAAATGTTACGACGGATGTCGGGCGGCCTTCACCAGGCCCTGGGGCTGGCTCTGAGTGATCAGCCAGTTCCAAGGAAAGGGTTGAGACCTCAGGGGGGTCCACGACGTCGGGAGTCAAGCTCTCCATAAACCCTGCCAGGGCCCGTATTGCCGTAAGGCCCTGGACACGCACGGCGGTGAAGAACGAAAGCGGCATTCCTGGTCACGGCGAGCCTCGGCCACGAAGAGGCCCCCGACCTGGACGCAAGGAGTGGCCCGAAAGCCAGAGCCCCTCCTGGACTCGAAATGTTCGTGACTGCATGTGCCCTCTGCCAGAGTCCCTGCTTCAGCGTCCCGGCTGCAAGTGCCGTGGCGCACGGCGAAGGGCCGAGCAGACGAGCGGCGGCGCGCCACGGCCGCCCGGGCTCGCGGCAGGGCCGGGAGAGAGCCGCCCGGAACACGCCCTGGAGAGCCCGCGACCGCCAACCCGCGCACGTGCCAGGTCGCGCCCGCACGCGTCTCGGCGCATTGCTCCACGCTGGGCCCACGCGCGAGGTGACGGACAGCGCAGGCAAGCAGCACGTGAGGAATCGAGCACTTGCTTAAGCCCACCATGGTGAGATCCCGCCTTGAAGGGCCCGGGGGTGGGAGATCACTTCAGGGGGCGAGAAGCCGAGGGCAGGCTTGCGGCGGCCCCAGACAGCCAAATGCGCCTGCTTTGCAAACCTGCGCGCCGCCACGCTGGTTCCAGGCAAACTGCGCTGCCCAGCGAAGGGGAGGAGAAGAGAAGCAGACAGACGACGACGGCGAACGCGCAGGCGGGAGGCCAGTGCCGGCGCGGCAGGCGGGCAGGCAGGGGCAGGGGAAGAGGGTGGGGGACAGCGAGCAGACAGGCAGTGCCAGGGGCTGGGAGAGAAGAGCCGCCCGCGAAGAGGCCAAGGATCCTACGAAAGCGACGCCGACCAGGCGGCGCAGGCGGAGCTTTGGAGTGGCAGGTAGGCGTCGGGTGCGTCGGGGGAGGCAGGTCGCTTTGGGCCGCCGGGGGGGGGGGGGGGGTCGTCGGGGGGGGGGGCGGCAGGGTAGGGCGGCCGACCGAGCCCAGCACGCTGCGGCTTGGGTGGGGGGGGAGGGGGCGTCCTCTGCGGGATCACCCACTGCCCTGCCGGGGAAGGGCCCGACGGCGCGTGCGAGGGGCGGATAGCGCGGGCACGGCGGGCGCCCGCACTGCCCAGCATGCGTAGGGGGGGAGGCGCGCGAGCGGCAGGGGGCGCCTAGCACGGCATCCGCCGTGAAGCGGCCGCGGCCGCGGCCAGGCGGGCCGCGGCCACCCCCGCCCCTCCAGACTGCGTCTGGAGGTGCCGCAACACCGCCCGCGCGTTCACCCTGCGCATGCTTCCGTCACCGGGGGCTGTCGGGCGGGCTGGCGCATGGCTGCAAGGCTGGCGGCTGAGGCGCCCGAGACGGGCGAGGCCGAGTTTCCCGCGGCGGGCGCTTCCCGATGGGGGCGTGCTGCCGCCGCGGAGGCGCGGCGCTGGCAGCAGCAGGCCGAGGAGGTCCTCGTGCGCAGGTGTCGGACGGAGCTCCTGTTGCACACGGCCTCGTTCCTGATGTAATTGGACGCCCTGATTTTCGCTGCCCAGCGCAAACATCCCGCTAACAGCTATCCTGGAAGCCTTTGCCGCCGAAGTCTGCCGGACACTGCAATGCTACAAACGCAGGCCGTGCCGCTTTCGTTCGTCCACTCCTCTTTCTCCCCGTTCCTCCCAAGACACCTTCCATTGCCCGCATCCTCCTCTTCCTCCCCCTCCTCCTCCTCCTCTTCCTCCTCCGCCTCCTCCTCATCATCCTTCTCCTCCTCCTCCTCCTCCTCCTCCTCCTCCTCCTCCTCCTCCTCCTCAGAATCATCTTTCTCCATCACCGCGCCCACCCTTCCCAGGTACGGAAGACGGTGCAACCCCTTGGATCGATATTGACCTTGTTGGACGTCATCAGATAATCCTGGTACGCGTCCCTGATTAACATCGCGCGCAGGCCTGGCGAACACTGCTTGACATGATCGGACAGGCACCCAAACATCACACTGCCGCATGCCTTCTGCTACTCCTCTTCCTCTCATTTCCTGCTACTTCCCGTTCTCCTTCAAATTTACCTGCGTCTCCTTTTCGTCGGAATGAAAGCTTTCCGCTCACCCGAACCCATTTCATATCGCACACGTGTGGACTGGTTCTGAGCGAACAAACGTCATTGCGTTATCTGTTCCTTATCCTGTCTGGGGGGGAGGTTAGCCAGGGGTGGCCACGCGGCCTTGTCGGGGTCTGGCCGGGGAGGGCGGTCGCCCAGTGGGGCCCCGCCAACGGTTGCGCCGGTCTGAATTGCGCCGAGCCGTATACTTTACAAACAATGTGCGCCTGTGGTATGTTGATGATGTTCATGCATATCTTGATTGAACGAACGCTGATTGATAGCTGTAAGGATTATAAGGATGCGTCGGGCTTGTCCTAGAATGCTGAAAGACTTGCAAAAACAATAAACGGCGCCTGCGTCGAGCGTCTGATTATACTTGGAATTGTATCCTGATGCGTTCTGGGGGGGGCGGGGCCTCACTCCTACCCGCGTCTGCGAGGGGGATACGGGCTATGGTTGATGCATGCGTGTGTCCGCCTCTTTGTACCCTGGTTGCTGATTGCTTCGGTGCGATTCCCGTGACCACTCGTTCTCTCGACTTCGCACCTGACCTGACATGCGGGGTCCGCTCCACGCGCAGGAGGAAGAGGAGGCTGAAGGGAAGAACGGAGGAGAGAGGAGACGAAAGGAGGAGGAAGCGGAGTGGAGCGCGAGGGTGTCCAAGCTGTGCCTGGCGTGCTTCGTGCGCCCACCCGCCCTTGCGCTAGGCTTCGCCCTGCGTGCCCATGACGAACCGCAGCGAGCCGGTCATTGTATGAACCATGTGGGGAACAGAGCGCGCCAGCGAGGCTCTGTGCCAGCTCTCGCGTGCCTCACCTGGTCCTGGATGAAGCAGAGGGGGGGGCAGGGGAAGAATCTGCACGCCAGGCGTTCGCACTGTCCGGCCCCTCCCTATGTCCCATGCCTCTCTGGCCTCCGCGCCAAGCTCTCCCCTCCTCCCCGCAAGCCTCCCATTCGTCCCCGACGTGCCCCCAGGGCGCCTCGGCGGCCTCCGCTCCACACATGCCCTCCTCCTGCTTCCTCCTGGCCCCTGACCCTCTCCCTCCTGCCCTGCAAAGGTGAAGGGAAACAATAAGAAGCGGGCAAATCGGCCGAGCCCCATCCGTCTCCGGAAGGCCACGGCCAGCGCTTCAGGGAAACGCGCAGGTTTCGGCCACATCTGGGGCCGCGGAGGGGCCTCTTACCCTCGAGCTCCCCGCGTTTGCCCCCCGCGGCGACGCCAGCATGGAACGTCTTTTTTCGAGCACGCACAATAAGAGCGTGCTCTGGGCCTCGGGCCGAGGCGCACAAGGAACGCACGCCGACCGCCCAAAGAGCGGACTGGATGGATGCCGAGGTATTCAGCATCGACGAGATGCTCCAGCTTCACAGCTCCAATCTCCGCACTGGCCACCATCCTAGCCCGTATGCCGAGCCGCGCCCAGCCGTGGGTGGCGACGAGTGGGCCGTCGAGAGCTCCCCAGACTCAGAAGACTTCGGGGCCCGTACAGCCTGCACCGTCCAGCGTCTTGCCCCTCTGCAGGCTCTCCGGCGCGCTCTGCTGCTGCCAATCCAGCCAGGCCTGCGGCCCCGCCCGCCCCCTTTGTAGGACCGCTGGGGGGTGGGCGCCTGACCGGTGCGGCCTCGCCGAGGACAAAGGAAAGCGGGGACACGGGACGGGACGGGACAAAATCTTCAACAGGCCGCGACGAAAAACGAAAAACGGCTTCGAGAGATGATCACGCAGAGGAGAATCAAAGGAAAGGATGGGGATTAAAAATAGGCTCCCGAACCTGCAGAAGGTGTCTGGAGATTGCCGAAGACGGGGGATAGGAACGGGGAGGAAGAGGCGGGGATGAGGGAGGAGGAGGAGTAGGAGGAGGAGGAGGAGGAGGAGGAATGCACGCAGCCGAGGGGGCGCGTCCACGAGCTTAGGCGACGGCCGAGGAGGGGCGCGCCGCGCGCGGCTGAGCCCTCAGGCCCGCCTCCGGTGAAGTCGCAGTTGATGAGGCAGAGGCCTGGGCTGCGGGTCCAGATGGCACGTCGCGCTGGGCAGGCGGCTCGATGGCGGATGGGCTGGCACGCCCTCGCAACGAACATGTCACGAAACTCGGCTCCCACGACTGCGCCGACGCCGCGGCGGGCACTCGGCCAACGCGGAGTCGATGTAGGGCCGCGAGCCAGATGCCCGACGCCGCGTCGAATGGAACGACACGGCCGCGGTTGTCGAAGAACTTCCTGTGGAGGTGGTAGATGTGGAACGCGAGCACGAGCCCGCGAAGAGCCGCGCCGCGGGACGATTCGCCGGCGTGCTCGGCCGCGCTGCCCAGCCCAAGGCGGCCGAATGGACCAGGCAGGAAGGAGCGCGGCAGCGCCACCCGGTGACAGAGCCTCCTGCACGAGAGGTAATGCCGCAGCTGCATGATATGTGTATGCGGACAGCCGTAGTCCATCCCCCTCCCCAGACGTCTTGAGGCCCGCCTACTGCCACGACGGAGGCACCTGCACCAGCAGACGGCGCAGCGCAGCCCAGCGGGCTTGCAGCGCGAGCGGCACGCCAAGTCCCCAGGCGTGAAGCCGCTCCAGTAGAGTCACCACTACCATCGACTCGGGGTAAAGCACAGCGGACAAGGAGCGCATGAAGGACGTCTGCAGCGATGAGGAGGAGGAGGAGGAGGCGGAGCGTACCTGGGGGAAGTCGTCGTCACTCTACTCATCTGCATGCCCTCCGTGCCACTCTCCCTGAGAGAGCACGCGGCAGGGGCCTTCACGATGGTGTAGTCGCCTGCATGCTGCCAGGGGGCCTGAAAAGGAGGCCTGCTCCGCAGCAGACAGCACCCTGATCCCAGCACAGTTGCGGGGCATATCATAATCCACGAATCGAAACAGAGTGAGGTGGTGCGGGGACGAGGCATCATCGGAGCGAGAGGAACGAGGGGGAGAGGGAGCCGACTCCGGCGATGCTGGAGTTTGAGGCCCGCCTGCAAACATGGCCTGCTCTTCGGCAGTGATCACCCTGATCCCACTGGGATCGCGGGGCATATCATAATCAACGAACTGAAATTCGATGAGCTCATCATCGCGACATGGACTGAGCACTGAGGGGGGATCAGGAGGGATCGAAGAGAGAGATGGCTGAGGCGACTCAATCAATGGGAGACCTATTACCTCAGAGCCCCGAGCCTCACTCATGGGGTCGTCCTCCTCGTTGGCTCGGCGGGCCGCTTCGATGGCCTCACGCAGGGTGGGCCGACGAAGAAGTGCCAGCTGCTGACGCCCACGAAGAGGGAGCCTCAGCGCGATCTGCGCAGCAGGGACCAGCTCCAGCGCCCGTGCGTAGGTCGGTGGGGAACTGTGCCGTGCCGCCATCAGCCGATAATGGTGGTAGCAGGCAATGAGAGAGGCCGGAGTCGGCCCCAAAAGCCCAAGTCGATGCCGTATCTCGCCAGGGAGATCTTCACGAAGAATGAGGGCGCCGAAGTGCGCACACCGATAGCACTCCACCAGATAATGTCGCATAGTATCGGGACCGCCACAACCATAGATACACCGCGCCTCTCGCTGCATACGTCGGTGAGTGATCCATCCCCCGAGGTACGACCGCACACATATGAATGCCCAAGATGCGGGCATTAGCTGCAGCTGACTGATGACCGTGGGCCAGCACACATCACGAATACCAAAATGCTTCTGCACACGGGCGGCGAGTAGCTCCTGGAGTCTGTCAGGGAAGACCGCCCGCTGGAAGATGTCGGTGAAAGCCGCCTGTCACTTGGGTGCTCGGGATAGTGACACACCTTGACCTTCCGCTGGCTCCGCAACACGACGGGCAAGGCTCCATGGGAGCTGACAGGGAGTGGGTCCAGCACGAAAGAACTCGATCACCTCTGCGGGGACGGAAGAGTCGCCGCCTCGCCATAGACTTAATGCCATTTGTCCTCCCGCTTTCAGCAGTTGGGACGATGGAAAGCCCTTCGCTGCCTCTTCCAAGCGGCAGGCAAAAGGTGGGGCCAACCAGAAGTTCGGAGCCAGAATGTCACTGGTGGCTTGGGAGAACGTGCCATATTCCCAAAGAAGATCACGATGTCGTTGCAGCTGCGAGCGCCATGTCGAACATGTGACCAGAGCCGCACGAAGACGCGCGGCGGCAGCGATGCAGAAGATCGAGCTGAACCTCGGGCCATTCACCGTGCTCAGCGCGAAGCAGTCACCAGTCCGAAGCATACTAGCGGGAGCGCGCAGGATGCGGGCAAGCAGAAAGCGCTGCTGTTGCCCAACCCGCCAAGGAAGAGGAACCAGCTGGGCAACGCACGACAGCGTGGGAGCGGCTCTTTGACGATATAGCGCAGCAGCCGTGGAGAGAGCTGCGCCCTGTGACGAAATTGCGGTAGTGCGAGTAGCATGCTTGAGAACAGGAGTCGACCATTGACTGTCATCTGTGGCTCCAGGCCCTATCTGAAAGCCAAGATAAGTGCACGCAGGAACAATCGCGAAATCTGCCCAGGCGGGGTCGGCCCCCACAAGTTGGCGTCGAAGTAGGGTTCCGTGTTCGGGCATAGATGGGTCACGAAGAGGTATCACATTGCATTTGGCAGGCTTAAGTCGTAGCTGAGCAAACCTCGAAGCATGTCGAAATACTCGAGCCAAACGTGGATACGCCCTGTTATGGAAGAGGACTGCCCCAAGATCGTCTGCACAGGCACGAACGACACCCAGGAGACGCCCACGTGCGACCAAACAATGTTCCAAGTCCAGGAGAAACGGGTTGCTCGCGATGACATAAAGCGACCCACTCAACGGACAGCCCTGAAGCACCCCTGAGTTCATGTGGTATAGGTACGTCGGGGAGTCGCCAACGAAGTAGCATGGAGTGCAGTGGTAAAGGGAGCGGAGAGCGCGAACCAGAGGGGCAGGAATCCGAAGCCGGGCGAGACATTGGAATAGCCACTCCTGGGATACCGATGGGAAGGCCTGGGCGAAGTCAAACGCAATCACTGACGGAGCTTGGGAGGATACAGCAGACATAATACTAGCCGAACGAGCGTAGAGGTCCAAATCGACGATATTATCCAGAAAGTTGCGCCTCCGAATAAAGCCCCGTTGTGATGGGGCCCCGATCTTCTGCGTGATCCAGCTCATAGTCTGGTTCAGTACACTGCACACCACTTTATTCGAGGAGTTCTTGAGTCCCAGCGGGCGGGTATCACCAGGGGCCCGTACAACGCCACCATCGTCGGGATCATGGGAGGGGGCCTTTGGGTCCTTGGGGAGGAAGACGGCCAGCAACGCTGTGAAATTGGAAGGCATGAAATTCCCAAGAGCAATCCAGCGAAGAACTTCGAGAAGGACCCTAGACCCCGAACCACATCTCCAGGCCGCATAATGAAGCCCGTCGGGGCCAGGAGCGGACCAGTTCGACTGCTTAAGTGCACGTTCTACATCGCGAAGGACGGGTGGGCGTACCTCTGAGAAGTCCTCTGAGCTGCTGAATCGGTCTATGTATTTCTTGGCGATGGATGGGACGGAGTGGGTCTTGGAGAAAACAGGGCCCCAATATGACGCCAATGCGTCCACCATCGGGGACTGGGAAGGAGGTGCAGGTTCCGACGCCAATGAGCCACCCGCCAGCATCTCCGAAACCGAGATCATCTCAGTGGCCGTGACCGATGCTAAATACTTACGCCGAGAAAGTGGGTTCCATAACTGGGCAGATCGAATGATAGCACGACGACGCCCAGCCAGACGAACCCTGACCGTGTTAGACGACGACTGGTTGATCTCTGACTCAAGAGCTTTCCGACGATATTCAGCTTCTTGCCGCTGCCACAAACTATGAAGATCATGGAAGCCACCAGGATCGATGAAAGAAACATCCTCACCATCTACACGTATGAGCCTCTGCGCCCAGGGGTGCTGGAAGAGAAGAACTCGTGCAAGACGGGCGTCACCACGCCAGACACATCGTGCAACCGAACGAGAAATCATAGCCCGAGAGGTCAGAGAGGATGGCGCAGCACGGCAGATGGCATTGCGTGCAAGAAGCCCAGCAGCCTGTCGAACAGCGGTGGCAGCAGCGAGCATTCGCGGCGGGTCGAAAGCCAGCTCTTCAATGCCCACCTGGGATTCCATATGGGAGACCAACTGAGCATAAATCTTGTCTTTGTACACCCAACGCGGGAGGGGCCTCTGGCGTTTAGTTCTAGTGTGATCCCGTGGGCGCCAGACGATCTCCAGAGGCGAGTGGTCCGAAATACCTCGGTGGGCCAACTCATGAGGTTCATCACGGACCGATACTAGCTGAGCAGTTTGACACAGAAGCCATGGTGGGGATGCGACAAAGAGACGATCGATTTTGGACTCACAGGCAGTCGAAGCGTGCCAATGGGTTGGCGCCTCCGATGCGAGCTCCGTCATGTCCCTGAAGATCTTCAGCCAGCTCGAGTCGCCAGGACGGGACGCCCTCGTAGAACCAACCCGCAGGGTGGAGTCGCCACGCTGGCCCCCACCGGCGTGCGACGGAGCTGAGGTGGGCTGCCCCCTCTGCGAGCCTTCCGTCGACGCAGTACTGGGGGAAGCTGCAGACGGGGGAGAGGATGAAGGGGGCGATGCCGAAGAAGGGGTCTGACTCGGAGAACATGGCCCAGAAGGTGAAGTACAGGTGGCCACTGTTGTCCCCGACGATGCCGAACGCGGAGAGCATGTGGCCGTGGGGTTGTGACTTTGCAGGGCTGAATCCTGCCCCCCACGGCCTGGCGAACATGGAGTACAGGTGTGCCCCTCGCCACGATGGTGTTCGATAGGCGTCGCAGGAATGTTGAAGTCGCCCGTGAGGATCACAGTGAACTTCATCGGATCATCCCGCACTCGCCGAAGTTGCGATTGAACACATGCCTGAATCTCCTTCAAGCCATCGGCGTTAATGGCAAAATTGTGCACATTCCAGTGGTAGATGGTGAAGTCGACCTCTGAATTATGTATAGTAACTAGCAGCACCCGACCAGCGACGAAGCTCTTCCCCTCGGCTCGAACGCTTGGGTGCCTTGGAACGAGGGTGGCGACACCTCCAGTCCGAGGCGTCACCGACTCAGAAACGAAGCATGAGTGCGTCGTACAGTGAATCCTCTGAAGAGCTTCTTCCATGGCACATTCACCACCGTGGATCTCCTGTAACGCCACTACTTTGCCAGCCCCCAACAGTTTGCTCAGGTAGCTGAGCTTCCTGCTCAAAATCGCTGGTCTGTAGTGTAACAGGGCCCCCGTGTTCCAGGTCGTGAAAGCCAGAAATCCCACACCAAACACTTCGTTACCCACTCCACCGTACTTCACGTGTGTCGAAGACCTGGCGAGCAAGCTCATTGGCCTCATCCCTGGACAAGCCAGTGTCGGCCAGTGCAGGGAGATTCCATTCCACCTTCGGCGTTCTGCTTGCAGGTAAAGGGAGCACCCGCACCAGGGGCTCCCACTTGGCCAGAAGTTGACCATTGTCCTTGTCGAGGAATGTACGGATGCCACGGTCGGTGAGACCCCGTTGCAGCTTCTTGCAGGCAATCTCTGTGGCGACCATCTTTTTGTTTTTGTCCGCGGAGATATGGATCGGCACCGACTCAGTGCCCACGTCAACATGGAATGCACGCCACGACCCATTTGGCAGTCGGAGCTGCTGCTGGGCCTGACTCCTTCTCGAGGTACGGGTTGCTTCCATGGGGCCTTGAAATGCAAGAGTAAAAAATTAGCACAGCGAGCGCGCGCGGATCTTTTCGTCCGAGCGCTGGCGCGCCGCACCGCTGTGTGCGACGTCGCGCGCGGCACCGTGCTGCTGACAGCGCAGGCCAGCGGCCTTCGAGCCCTAGGCCCGGAGATGCCGCAAGCAGGCCTCGGCCCTCGAGCCCCCTCGGCTCGGCGACCCAGGCCAACGGCCCTCGAGCCCCTCGGCCCGGAGCGCGGGTCAGCAGCAGCCGCCAATCTTGGCCGGCCTCCGCCACTAGGGGCGGGCTCCCTGCAGCCGCCACGCGTGGCCGGCCTCCGCCGCTAGGGGCGGGCTCCCTGCAGCCGCCACGCATGGCTGGCCTCCGCCACTAGGGGCGGGATGTTGTCAAAGGGCAGGCTGTCGGCGCCGTGCATGCTGTAGGAAAGGACCTGCATGTTGAGGGAGGTGAGGGCGGGACCCAAGATAGCTATGGAACGAACGATCCTGATGCTGCTCGTGTGCTACATGTCGAGGGCGATACTCTAGCACAGCGAGCGCGCGCGGATCTTTTCGTCCGAGCGCTGGCGCGCCGCACCGCTGTGTGCGACGTCGCGCGCGGCACCGTGCTGCTGACAGCGCAGGCCAGCGGCCTTCGAGCCCTAGGCCCGGAGATGCCGCAAGCAGGCCTCGGCCCTCGAGCCCCCTCGGCTCGGCGACCCAGGCCAACGGCCCTCGAGCCCCTCGGCCCGGAGCGCGGGTCAGCAGCAGCCGCCAATCTTGGCCGGCCTCCGCCACTAGGGGCGGGCTCCCTGCAGCCGCCACGCGTGGCCGGCCTCCGCCGCTAGGGGCGGGCTCCCTGCAGCCGCCACGCATGGCCGGCCTCCGCCACTAGGGGCGGGATGTTGTCAAAGGGCAGGCTGTCGGCGCCGTGCATGCTCACGCAACCCATGTCTGGCGAAGTCGTTCCCCAGAAAGCCAAAAACTCTGCCGAAGGCGTGACTGAATTTACTTGCCACCGTCCATGATGCGCTCAATGTGCCTGTGGAACAACTGATGCCCCAAGGCCAAAGCTGCCCGCTGCTGCTTGGTGACCGCGACGGCTTCTAGGGCAGCCACCCCCTCTGTGATATTATCCCAGTGCGACCCTACCTAGGAGTTGGAGCATTCAGGAAAGCAACAGCTAAGCTAAGCTAAGCTAAGCTAAGATGGGGTAAGCTAAGCTAAGCTAAGCTAAGCTAAGCTAAGCTAAGCTAAGCGAAGCGAAGCGAAGCTAAGCTAAGCTAAGCGAAGCTAAGCTAAGCTAAGCTAAGCTAAGCTGGGCTAGGCAAAGCTAAGCTAAGCTAAGCTGAGCTAGCTAAGCTAAGCTAGGCTAGGCTAGGCTAAGCTAAGCTAAGCTAAGCTAAGCTAAGCTAAAGCTAAGCTAAGCTAAGCTAAGCTAAGCTAAGCTAAGCTAAGCTAAGCTAAGCTAAGCTAAGCTAAGCTAAGCTAAGCTAAGCTGGGCTTGGCAAGGCTAAGCTAAGCTAAGCTGAGCTGAGCTAAGCTAAGCTAAGCTAGGCTAGGCTAGGCTAAGCTAGCTAAGCTAAGCTAAGCTAAGCTAAGCTAAGCTAAGCTAAGCTAAGCTAAGCTAAGCTAAGCTAAGCTAAGCTAAGCTAAAGCTAAGCGAAGCGAAGCTAAGCTAAGCTTAGCTAAGCTAAGCTGGGTGAACCCAGGGGGCGCAACTGGGGGAACCAGGGGGGCGCAACCGGGGGAACCGCCCGGGGTGAGCAACACTGCCCGCCCCCTTTAGCCAACAAAGTAAGAACCCTTCTAGGCAGAGCCTAGGTAGGGAATAAATCTTGGCTGTCGCTCTGGAGCGCCAGCGGCCTCGCTCGCAGGTCAGCGCCATGTTGCCGAGCGAAGAGAAATGGTGGGTGGCGCCGCCACGGCGGATGCTATAGGGCTTTATTCTGCTGGGGTCGAGGCCCGCCTTGCCAAGGTAGCTGGCGAAAGATGCGCGAAAATTGGCAAGACCCCTCGGTAGGAGGGCAGTGCCAGCTGCGCACCCTGCAAGCGCCCGGCGGAGCAGTAAGTAGGCGAACTCGTCATCGATGATGACGTCCTCAGGGCACCCCTGCCTTTTCCCGCCTTTAGTAAGCCCAAGGTTGACCACGCACGTGCGCTGGCTGTGGTCGAAGACGCAGTCCCCCGCAGAGATGAGCATCTCGGAGGGGCGCAACAAGCCGTTGAAGCCCGCCAGGATTGCAGTGGCAACATCCTCGCGGCCGTCGGCGAGCGCAAAGCCCGCCAAGGCAATCGCCACCTCCGGTCGTAACGGCGGGGCGCGGTTGGGCATCTCATTCTGATCCCACGTGCGGAGCAGGCGCCAGCCCTCCTTGAGCTCGCGCCGAAGGCTCGGCACCAGATGCTGAAGCCCCGAGAGGGTGTCGGCGGCCAAACTGCGGGACGATCCGTCGTCCCACAGCGCCTCCAAATAGTCAGCAACCGCCTCGTCGACGGCATCCGCACTGAGCGGGCGTGCAATGTGTCGGGTAGACAAAATATCAGGTCGCTCCCGTCCGAGCCAGTCGAAAAAGGCATTGACCGCGTGCTTGTACCGCTTGAGGGTGCGCGGTTGGATCTGTAATTCTCGTAAAGTGCCCGCTGCTCGTCGTCTCTGCTGTCGCTGCTTGGCCGTGGCGGCCTCCAAATGCTTTACCATCGCGATGGCGCGTCGGCGGGGTTGTCCGCCGACCTCACATAGACCCAGTGCGGGTGGAGACTACCAGCGAGCAGCAACGAGACGATGCGGGCGAGAATCTTTTGGAGGCCCCGGGCAGAAGACCTCCCTTTGCACAGCACTCCGATGCACACTTGCGAGTCCAAGATGTGAACGAAGCGCGAATTTATCTGCATGCTGCTCCGCAGGCGCCACCGGACGCTGCTGAGCACGGCGCGCAGCTCGAGCTCGTTGATATGCTCGGCGTCGCGCCAGCGCCAAGCCTGGCAGGTCATCCAATCCCACCTGGCCGCAGGGATGCCTCTGCGCGGCCAGCTGCTGGGGTCGCACAGGGAGGCCGTAGCAATCCTGACGTCCGATCCTTTGAAGATAGTGGAACGGACCATGGCCTCGAGCGAAAGCTGATGTGAACAATCGCAGGCGATCTCCTCAATCGCTCTCCCGGCCAGGCGCTCGACGAAGGCGGAGCCCGCGGCTGAGAGTCCGCCACAGGCCACGTCGGGAGTCGGGGTGTCGGGCAAGAAGCCTCTCTGCCACCCCCACAGCCCAACCAGGTACGCAAGGGGGGCCACGGGCCCACACTGCGCTGCCACGGCGTGGCGAGCCTGGTCGAGGGCCTCCGACGTGCAGCCCGACTTGCGACTCCGGGCTTGGAGGAAGAAGTCGTGCGGAAAGCCCAGCCGCAGCGCGATGCACTGCAGACACCCTCTCTGCGCGGCCCCGGCAGGGCACTCCTTTCCGAGCGGGCAGCTGCGTGCGCCGCGCCTGGCCCCTGTGCTCCGCAAGCCAGCGCCTGCCGCCGCCGGGGGGACGGCTGGGGTGGACTCGGACCAGCTCAGGAAGATGCGGTCCGGCCGGCGTGACATCCGAAGGTGACTGCCACCCTCCAGCGGCCAGCTCAACCAACAATATTCGCAACCTGTGCTCTCGGACACCGTCGACACGTCCATAAAGAGCGGGATGGAGCGGAAGGCGCGCGTGACAGACTCCAACTGCTCGCGCGAGGTCGAGGGCGCGGCGAGGCACACCGGCCAGACCCTCAACCCGGCCCCCTCGCGCTGCAAGACACGCTGCGCGGAGCAGATAAGGGGCAGGTCGGCATCGAGCTCCAACGCGGACCCGATGTGGCACATAAAGACGAGGTCGGTGGCGTGAGCGGCGCGGCCCAGCAAGCGGCGAGCAGCGATCGCATCGAATGCTCGCAGGTCGCCCAAAACCTCGGCCTCGGGCCAGCGGGCCCGCACCGTCCGGGCAGCGTCCGGCGCGACCGACAGCAGCCCGTGCAGCGAGAGCTCGAGCCCGACGCTGTCGAATGCCATGCGCCCACGCCCACAACCGCCGACCTCGAGGAGCACGAGGAGGTCGCGACCATGAGCGCAGCCGCCTGCCAGCTCACACAGAGCGGCGGTACGACCCTCGGAGGTGTGCCTGGACGTGTACGTGACGCCCCCGCCGTTCTCGCTGGCGTCCGAGGCCGTCATGACGCGCGAGATGGGGCTGCGGAGGTCGTACTCGAAGCATGGGAGCAACGCGAGGGCCAGGAGAAGCTCCCGGCGGGCCCCCTCCGGCAGCGCGCGAGGACCTCCGCTCCAGTGGGATAGTACGTGCCAGACCTCCTGGAAACAGCTCATGCACTCCTTCCGGTAGGACGCGGCGTGCACCCAGTGGCCGATGACGATCTCCAAGTGCTTGCGCCGCGCCGCGGGCGACGCGATGCAGTGGCACGACAGGCGGGTAAGTAACCCGACCCTCTTCGGCGTGAGCCGAAGGCGCCCGTCGGCTCCATCCAGCAACGCCCCAAGCCTGGACACTGAACTACAGTTAGTGCCGCTCTTGGCACTGAGCGGCACCGCCCATTCGTCGTAACGTGCGCGGGCGGCCTCTGAAAAGCAGGCAGCCTGGGATAAGTGCTGGTGCCAACGCTCCTGCTTGCTGATCAGCTTGCCGTAGTCGGCGTCGTCGCAGTAGATCTGCCAGAGCTGGTCAAACTCGTCGTCGCCGGAGCGGGCCACTGGAAAGGGCCTGTCCTTCCGGATTTCGCGCCGCAAGGGTAGTCCGCGCGGGTGCGCGCCTCCAGATAGCAAAAGCCGGCGGTGCAAGTACTGGAAGAGGCCCATGGCGTTGCACCAGCCCATGGGGACCGTGGTCGCACCCAGCCAGATGGGCTCATCCCCCCAATCGCGGATGCCCAACTCGAGGGGGTCGAAAGCGACATCGAAGCAGAAGAGCGCTGCCCACTGGGGCGGCAATGAAAAGAGGTAAAATGCCCCTTTCATGTCGTCGTGGGCCCACACAAGCTCTTCTCCCACATCGATTATGATGTTGCGCCATTGTGCGTAAAATGGCAGCTTCGCGATGTCGAGGGGCAGCTCGCCCATGAGCTGGTTGGATGCGGTCAGGTTCATGATCAACCTGAGCTGCGGCTGCCCAGCCAGAGGCCCGCTGGGGACGAGGTCGTCCTTGAGCACGCCAAACAAACCGTTGACGACGGGCTCCCCGTGGATGCGCAGCAGGTCGCTGCGCCGCAGTGGCGCCACCAAGCCCCTCTCGAGAAGTCCGCGGCCGATGCGAACGATCTCGGTTGAAGAGGCCATGACCTTCCCAGGCTTCGGCCGCGCCGGAAAGCAGTCCAGCGGCACCAACGTCTCGATCGGCTCCTCGAGGTAGCGCCTGACGCGCGGCTCGCAAAAATCGACGGCCCGCAGCCTTCCGCAGCGGTCGGCGGGAGGGAGCGCCGGCTCGATCTGCTCCCAGGTCAACTCCACGGCCCTCTGGACGACGTCCCCGCCGTAGCTGACCTCCCTCTTGGCGAAAAGCTCAACGGGCGCCTCGGCGGCGACGCCCATTCCGGGCGTGGTCACGAAGCTATGGACCTTGCGCTCCAAGTGCCAGAAACACGCCACCTGAGCTACCGAAGGCCCGTTTACTGGCATCGCGCATGGCTGCTGGCCGAGGGCCCGCGAACCGTCCCAGAGCGCATTCAGCCCAAGCAACACTAAGAGCAACCACTCGTCAAGACCGAGCGCGGGCCTCGGCAAGGCGCACCTGCCAGTCTTGTCACCCCCGGCGAGGAGGCGGGCGTACTCGGCGGGCTGACGGTACGGAGCCAAGCCCAGCGACGTGGCAAAAGGGAGCAGCTCGCGCGAGGACGACGGCGAGCAGGACTCCCCCCACGAAGATGGCGCGCCAGCGCGTGACTTGCAAGCAGACCCCTGCCGGGCGAACCCCAACAGCAGCTCGCCGAGCACGCCGATGCCGACGCCCCCAACCAGCCCCTCCGAGAGGCCGGCCCCTGCCCCCGAGCGGGGCAGGCTCAGAGAGGGCGGCGGGCAGGCCCCTCGCCTGGGCCCCGTTTGCCTTGACCCTTGCTGGATCCCTTGCCCTTGCCCCGGCGCTTCAGAAACCACATGCGGGCTGAGCGCGGATCCCGGGCTCGAGGGCGTGCACCTTTGCTTGGGGAATCCTTGCCCTTCTTGCCGCGGCCCTTGCCCGCGGCCTGGGCCGGCGAGCCACGGGCGCGAGGGCCGGTCTCTGGGCCCTTCTCGTCCGAGCCACTGCTGACTCCTCCGCCGCTGCCGGCGCGCGGAGGGCTCCTCGGGTAGACGCTCGCGGGTGCCGCGGGGTCGAAGAGGCCTCGGGTGACCTCCTCTGAGTGTCGCACCCTCGTGTTGGCGGAGCTCCGCCACGGCGCCATACTTTCCAGACCCGGCTCCAAAGGAGTGCCGGGAGGCTGATGGGCGACCGCCTGCTGGACCTTCCGAGGAGGCGAAACCTCCGCCGATGGGGATGGCCTCAGGGCGGGCTTTCGGTCCAGAAGCCCGCCCCCGCCGAGTCCCTAGCGTACGGCGCCCCGGGACTGAGCGCGGCCGGTCGAGATCCTGTTCTTGAGCTCCTCCCGCTTCATCTCCTGCTGCTCGGCACGGTACAGCTCCTCCCGCTCGTCCTCCTCCATGGCCGACACGAGCGTGTCGTACAGGGGATTGAGGTGCTGGGCAGCCGCCCAGCCCTCCCTCTGAGCCATCTCCACGGCCTTGAACTGCTGCGCCAAGAGGTCGGTGCAGCCCACGAAATTGCCATCCAAAAGGCAGTCCAGGCAGGTGGCCAGAGTGCGGAGCTCGGCCTCGTTGCGCTTGTTCAGCTCCGAGCCGAGACGGGGGATGAGCTGCGTGGTGAGGTACCTCATGGCCACTGGCTCGGTGGCGGACCCGGGCCGGGACTCCCGCGGCAGGTAAGTCCGCATCTTCGCGAGCAGCCTCTCCGTGATGCGCCCGGGGCGCCGTTCCATGGTCGCACGGACCTGCTCGCGTTTGGAACGACGCCCCTCGGGAAAATCCCGGCTCCGAGAGCCCGATGAACTCCGAGAAGGGCTCCGGTAACGAGAGCGGCGGCGATGGCGCGAGCCGCGCCGGCTGCGCGACCGGCCGCGCTCGCCACGCGCGGCGCGCTCCCGGGAGCGATGGGGAGAGTCGCGCCTGCCACTCGCCGCCTGGATGCCCTTTGCCGCGATGGCCTCCGCAAGGCCATGCCTTTTGGAGGCCCCGAGGCTCCTGTCGCGAGGGCCGCGGCTGGCGCCGGCCTCGCCTTTGCCCAAAACAGCGGCGCCCTCGACGCGGGGATGCTTCCGCGGAGGCTCCTCGCTGCCGCCGTAGCCCCGGGACCCCGCGCGCCTGCCCTGGCCAGCGGAAGCCAGCTCGCCGGGCGGGGGGAAAGCTGGCGGCGGCAGCGGCGGTCCCTGTACCCGCGCACGCAGGGCCACCAACTTGTCGCGCAAGTCGTCCTTACCGTTGGGCACGGCCTGCACGATGCTGACGCCCCCTCCAGCGCCCTTGGCTGCAGGCGGCGCCGTGGGGCCACCCGCTCCGGCAGCAGCAGCGCCGGCAGCTGAGTCCAGCGCTACCTCCAGCTCGCTCTCGAGGATGAACCGCCACTTGCCGACGTGGAACAGCTGCTGGTCGTGCTCGCTCGCGGTGCACTCGTCGGCCCTGACGGTGCAAAAATGCAGCCATGGAGGCCGCGCGGCCGAAAACATCGGGTAGAGGTCGACCTCATCTGTGGGGTTGTCGCTCTCCAAGTACGTGGCCGAGTACATGGAGCCGTGCTTGAGGTCGTAGACCTCCTGGTGGTCGATGCGGAAGCGCGCGTGGCCGTTGATCGTGAAGATCTCGATGAGGTCACCTTCCGCGGGAAGGGCACTCCCAAGACCTCCCTCGTGGATCATGGCCCCACGGCCCGAACGATGCCCGCGATCGCCTCCTGAGGCGCCGTCCCTGCCTCGCGAAACTCGCGGCTCCTCGTCAGCAGGGTGGGCACGACGATCGGGCTGAGCGCCTCCGCCCGAGGCGTCCCTGCCTCGCGCTGCGAGCGGCGCGGCGCCAGCAGGGCGCGCCCTCACCGGGAGCGCTGGGGGCGGGGGTCCGGCAGCAGCAGGGCGCCGGAGCGAACCCCTCCGCGATGGCGCCATCCCCCGCGGGCTCCAAGAAGCTGCTGAGAGGCGCGGGAGCGCCCTCGACCCCGGTGCAAAATGATCCGCCGAACGCGAGCGCTGCAGGGCAGCGCGCGCGGAACGGCAGCACCGCTTTTTGACCCAAGATAGCTATGGAACGAACGATCCTGATGCTGCTCGTGTGCTACATGTCGAGGGCGATACTCTTGGCGACGTCATCCCCATGCAGTTCCACACCGTCCCCGAGAGGGACGTTTGCTTCGGTGAGCCAAGGAGCCAGGGCCGCCGCCACAGCATTCTTAGCCACAGCAGAGGATGCCCGCACCGTGAGGATGGTGAGGTCCACTTCCCTGTCCCACTCTGGGTTCGGTACAACAGGAGGACGCGGCTTCGCCTTTGCCAGGTCGAGCTCTTTTTCCAGATGCGATAGCCGGTGGGCGAGGCCCGCCACGGTGCTGTCGAGCAGGTCCGATCGAGCACGCTGTGCATGGACCTCACCGTCGACACGTCGTAGCTGCTGGTTGAAGCGCTCCTCATACTTCTCCATGAGTGGGACCGTGGCCGCGCTGAGCGCGGCAGGGAGCTGTGCCAGGATGGTCTCCATCGCTTTCTGTGTGAAAGCTTGCATGGCCTCTGCCTGGAATGAGTCCGAGGATTGAGCAACGTGTCCGACAGCATCATGAGATGTGGTTCCATTGGACGCAGCCGCCGTCGCCCAGGGATCATGCGCACGGCCTTCAACAGAGGTGCCAGGAGTCGCCCATGGCCTCGAGGCTGGTGGAGTCGGCCAGGGTGAGGGGGAGGGCGAGGCCGTCGCTCCCCCAGTTGCAGGAGGTGCCAGGGCTTGCGCCTCGTCAGCTGGTAAGGGGGTGGCGATGCCAAAGTGCTGTGTCCCGCAAGAGCTGTCGACGATGACGGGGGAGGCGCCACGGCCAGCACTGCGGGAACGCCGAGAGCCCTCAGCCGACGCATCACTGGCGGCGGGGAGGTAGCGGTCCCGAGTCCGAATGCGATCACGTTCGCGACCATCAGGGGCACCGTGAGAATCCCGAAGATCACGCAGCCGAGCCGAGGGTGATGAGGCACGCGGGGTGGATGATGCGGAACGTGATGAGGCCGTCGGCGCCCGCCGTTCTTCCTTCGCCTTGCGGGACTTCCGTTCATGACGACTGCCGCCCAGGAGGAGGAGGAGGAGGAGGAGGAGGAGGAGGAGGAGGAGGAATTGGAGGAGGAGGATGTCGAGCATAACAATGGCAACGACAACAACGGTGGAGGATGAGGACGAGGACGAGGAGGAGAAGGAGGACGACGATGGGGCAGGAACGGCCCGCGCCCGCGGTTCGCACTATATTCTGCACTTCGGGAGGCAGGGGTCAGAGGCCGGAGTTTGCATCGCCTGGGGAAGCGAAGCCCCAGGGCCCCCAGGAGGCAATAGATGTGGATACTCCCAGGCCTGGGGAGGGGGGCCAGAAAAGATATGCCGTTCTCGCGCACTGGTCGTTTCGCCAGGTGCGATTCGCCCGATCACTCCGTCCGATGGTGTTTCGCCCAGTGCGCGTTTTGCCCAATGCAATTTTCGCTCGCGGGCGAAACGTACCGAACGGAACGCGCTTTGACAAATCGAGCGCCCTCATCATATCCACTACCTCTGGGGGCCCTGGGACATCGGTGGAACCAGACCCCCGACGTCGCGACTTGTTTCACAACGTGGAACTCCAGAGATCTTGACTCATTCCCCTTGGCTGGCGGCTTTTCATCCTGGATGGTTGTTTGACCTTTCCTGTGCCTGGTGAAGGCCACCGGAAGCAGAAAGTATGCCCAAACTTCCGTAATTATGTTTCTCGACGTGAGCGAGTCTGTGTCCCAGGAACCTGGGGCATCGGTTTCCCAGGCGATGGATGCATAGAAAACCTGGCCGCGGAGGTCAGGGAGGAAGGAGGAAGGAGGCTCCGAAGTGGGCTTATGACGCCTCGGGATAGCCCCAATATCGCCGGAGAGAGATCCGCAGGAGGGGATCAGAGGGGCTCTGAGTCGCTCTGCTTGGCCCCCACGATCACTCCAAGAACACCCTGAGAAGGTCCTCAGATCTGATTTTTCTGTATCCAACACGGAGACCTTAACTTACAACCTTAGTTTACTAGGGAGTCCGGTCTCCCGTGTCGTCTTCCTCGCTTTCTCTCGCTGCGTCCTCTCCCCCCCTCCGTCGTCGTCGTTGTCGCTGTCGTCGTCGTATGTGGCCACGCCACATGGGGAAACTCAGCGGCCAATAACACAGCGTGAACGCATCTCAACACCCGCCACGGATGTATCATCTTTTTGTGCCTGACCTCCCGCAGTTTCAAAGCAGCAGCCGGCAGAGAGTCGCAGTCGATCGATGTTGTTTCACCGCCCTGCCAGTGCACATCTGAACGGCATCTGTTCTGCCGATGCGCCGTCGAGGCGCCTGGCTCCTCACCGTTCCTTACCTTACCTGGGTTTGATTGGTCTCTTGGAATGGCCAAAGACGGCCCCTGGAGGCCGCCAACAGGGCTTCAGGATGGTCCAGAGGTATCCCCAAGAGGGCCCCAGCATCCAACAACGCCCCCATGACAGCTCTAAGGTACGCCTTCGCGGCGCCCTGGTGGGGGCCCCTTTCACCTTACCAGAACAGATACGAAGAAAGGTAACTTTCGGGTCATGTAGCGGCTGCCCTCTCGATTCGTGACAGTGTATGCGCCTACGCGTCCCTGGTCAAGGTAAATGCGCATGTGAGTTGCTGCTGGATGAACCGTTGGGGGCACGCGAAGCGTCAAACATTCACTCACGCGTCGCATGCGGAGCTTCATTTTTGGCGAATGCTAGCGGTGCCG